ATGACCTTAAAGAAACACATAGAGGAAACAAGACAAACATGGTTCCTCTTCTCAGAGAACTTATAGTCCAGGAGAGGGCCACTAGTAAGGCATTCCCCATCCATGTGAACACGCTATGAGAGGGCAGGTAAGAGGCATGGTAGGAACACACAGGAAGTCCTCATGGCTTCCTAAAGGAAGAGGCATCAAAACTGAGACCTGACTGTGAATCTGCCAGCTGAGGGAGGAAGTGAGGCAGGAGAGAGGCAAAGCAGGAATTTCCAGGTGAGGATCAGGAGCCAGAAAGAATTTAGCATAGGTGGGATTTTGAGAGGAGTTCCTAGTGGCACGGAGAGGGCCAGGGCCAAGGTGGGAGAGGTGAGATGACCAGACAGGAGGCTGGAGTGGAAGAAGGCACCAGGTCACAAAGAGCCTTGAAGACTCAGTGAAGGATTATAACTTCATCCTGGAGGCAGTTGAGGTTTTAAGCAAGAGCAGTGTGATTAGCTTTTTATTTCAGAAATGTCACTCAAGTTGCTTTTATGAAAAAAGGTTGAAGGTGGCAAAACTAGTGAGGAAGCCTCCCCTGATGAGCAATAATCGTGTTTGATCCAGGGTAGGAACAGTGCAGCTGGCAGATAACACTATCTAAGAGACAGAATTGGCATGATTCAACTTCTAAGTTAAAGGTACACATATATTAGGGAGCCTGCAGCATAGAGAGACAGACAAATGAGGAAGAACAAAGAGGGGGTCGGAAACCTAAGGGACTCTAATTCATAAGGATGGACAAAGAAACAGTAGCCACAAAGGTGACTGCAAATGAGAGGGCAGAGGGTAGCCAGGACAGACAAGCCTCATGAAGGCACAAGAAGAGGGTTTTTCAGGAAGGAGTTGTTGACAATGTCAAATGAGCCACGAGTCTGAGAAATATGGGGACTGAAAACTATTCATGTGCTTAGTAACAATAGAGTCACCAGAGACCCAGACGAGAGCAGGTTTGATGGACAGGTAAGGGTGGAAGTCAGGCCCCTTAAGACTGAGGAATGACTGGGAAGTTAGAACATGGAATCAGGGGGCATCACAATTCTGGAGAAACTGGGCTGTAAAGGGGCAATGCCTAGAGGCAGAGTGAGGTTTGTGTATTTTCATTATTATTATTGATGGTTTAATAATGGTGGAAACTTGCTTAAATGCCCATTGGAGAGAGCCTGCCAAGGAGAAGAGATTATTTATTGAGTGAGGCCCCAAGGTGAGAGAGGTGAGAACCCACAGCATACGCAGAGATTGGTTGTCTTTCAACAATGGGGCACCCCTCTTTCACATACAGGACAGAGGGAGAAAATATGTTTGTGGGTTTGTTGGGCAGAATTAGAGGAAGTCCTCACCTACTGGTTTCTTTCTGTTTTTGTTTTTTTTTAATTAGGAAGCTATTTGATCTGTTGAAAATAAGACAGGATTCTGTGGCATCTAAGGTTTGAGGAGTGTGAAGAAAGCTGGAAATAGAGAAAGCTCATCAGTAAATGTAGTGTTGCCAGTGCAACCTTGAAGTTGGAGATCGTGAAACTGTGGTACTTACCAATCTGCCCAGTTGTTTTCTGTCCATCTCTGTAGCTGCCTGGAACTTTTGTCCACCAGCAGCCTTCCTAGTTTCTGGAAGAAAGGAAGGCACAGTCACATCCACTACAGTTGGCGTATGCCCTGCTGGAAAGGTCCAGCATGACAGCTCCCATCTGCATTTCCTCTCCTCCCTCTACCATTCAGCTGAGGCAGCCGGCAGAAGGCAGCTCACCTGTAAATGTGAGAGATGAAATTTGTCTGTCACGAGTTTTACCCACATGCCTTCACTGAGACCCTTTGTTCATTCACTCTTTGGCCGAGCAATCTGGATGGCACACCTTCTGCTATGTGCCAGCCATTGCATTATGGGTACATTGGCAAATAAGACATGGGTCTGCCCTCAAATATTTATTATTCCAGGCTGGAACTGAGTTCTATAAACAGAGAATTACAATGTATGCCAAGGCTTATTGAAGAGCACAAACAATGTGCTGCTGGAGCACAGAAGGGGGAGTAACTGAAAATAAGAAATGTTATAAAAGTTTGTGTCATCCTCAAGCAGTCTTAATGTTTCCTCCAAAACCACTAACATGTCTGGAAAACAAGAATTTTCTAAAGAAAGGCCTTTAGAGAAAGTTAACACCTTTTGTGTTTAATAAGGTATTTAAAGATCATGCAATTGATGGGGAAACTTTGCCGTTACTCACAGAGGAGCATCTTCGGAGCACCATGGGATTAAAGCTAGGGCCGGCACTCAAGATCCAATCGCAGGTACGGCAATTTTTCATAACCCAATAGAAATTGATGGTATGAAGCTTAAGAGAAATATGTTACTTTCATCCTGTTGTAATATTCATAATGCCTATTGAACCTCTTTACTAACCTCTGTCCCCTCTGTGGGTGGGGACATGATAAAAGGAAGGGAACCTGAAAACATTGGATGGAACCTGAAAATGTTCCTAGGTAGAGTTGGGAAGGCACAAATCAGTGGTGTGCTGGTAAATGTTTCACAACCGGCTCTCTTTAAAAACAAAATGGACCCAGATGGGTAGCATTTGTCAATTTCTGTAGTGTAAATATTCCCACCATGGCTGACAAACTCTTAATATAATGTCACTGTATACAGAATTGGGAAGAGATGCACAACAGCACCCCCTGTTAGAGGATTTTTACCAAATGGATCTAATAGACACAAATAACCTCAGCAATGGAGATAATGATAAATGATAATAGCAGGAGATAATGATAAATGATAATAGCAAAATAATTAGGTAAAGACAATTAGGAAGTAATGAACTTTGAGTATTTATTAGTTTAGTTTCCAATATAATGTATTCTTTTTGTTCACCTGATTTTTAAATTAGGATTAAAAAAATTAATCAATGTCTACAGGCCGCCATGGGAGGGAATGTGAAAGCAGCAGACAGGGGTTTGGTATTTTGGTTGGGGACACTGCAGGAGTTTTACACTCCTAACAAAACTACCTTATTCACAGATGAGTGTTGCCTTTTTAATAATAAGCCTGTCCCTCTTTGAAACTTCTGCACCTGGAAAAGTGAGGTAATTAGGTACCTCAAAAAATGTTTCTTAAATAAATCAATGACTAGCCTTTCTTTACACATTTAAATGATCAAAATGAGTGTATTATCCATCCTCAAGAACAATTTACTTGTAGACAATCATTCAAAACCTAGCTAACAACTAAAATATCTAAGTTACAAAACATTATGAAGACTCTTAACCATCCTAAAAGACAAGTGCTCGGCAAGAGTTTCAGTACAATGCATTTAATGATAAGTCTGTATAATTTAATTTTTAATAATGGCATGTTTGACAACTGGCTGGCAAACTTCCTAAAAATTTAACAATTGACTTTCAAGACCGGAACAAGCCAGCTCCAGCACACCACTTCTCACCACCTTCACTGCTTCATTCTGTCTGAGGCACCATCATCTCTCATTGGATTCCTGCATTAGCCTTCTAACTGTTCTCCCTGCTCTGCCCTTGCCCACCCAGAGCCAATTCACAAAACAGTAAAGAATGATCCTGTCACGTGCAGCATAAAGACAGGAATTTGTTTTGAGAAATGTGTCACCAGGCAATTTCTTTGTTGTGCAAACATCATCAAGTGCACTTACACAAACCTAGATGGTATAACCCACTACGCACCCAGACTGTATGGTAGAGTTTAGTGTTCCTAGGCTACAAGCTTGTACAGCATGTTATTGTACAAAATAACATGAGATTAAATCAAGCACAAGAGAAAATGATGCAATCAGAGGACTCGGTAAACACGAGATGTATGAGGCTGCTGCGGGTATGACATCACACACTGCTTTACAGCAAACATTTTTGTTTTTTTTATAAGGAGGAAGAGTACACTCTAAAATGATGATAAAAAATATAGTATAGTAAATACATAAACCAGTAACATAGTCATGTATGATCACCATGAAGTATTATGTACAGCACATATCGTATGTGCTAATTTTGATACGACTAGCAGCGCAGGTTTGTTTACACCAGCTTCACCACAAACATATGAGTAATGCCTTGTGCTATGACATTACGACAGCTGCAGGATCACTAGGTGATAGGAATTTTTCAGCTCCATTATAATCTCATGGGGCTACCATGGTATATGTGGTCTGCTATTGACCGAAAAGTCCTGTTATGCAGTACATGACTATACATAAGACAGATCATGTCACTCCTCTGCTCAAATGTCTGCAGTAGCTCCTCATTTCATTTAGAGTAAAAGCCCAAGTCCTATATTATTTGCACTCCTCCCCACCTACCACCACCACCCTTACCTTCCTCACCTCTTTGTCTATGTCCCTCCCCTTCAGTGACTGTGTCTGCCTCCTCATTTGTGGATGCAGCTTGAGCATCTAGGCATGCTCCTCCTTAGGGCCATTCCCTCTGCGTGGGAGGCTCTTCCCCCAGGTCCTCATGCTTTGCTCCCTCATCTCCTCCCCCTTTGCTCTACTCTACTTTCCTTCCCAGTGATGCTTGCTCTGATCACCCTGTTTAAAATTGCACATGGCCCAGCCCCCGTGCATTCCGCTACTATCCCTTTTTTCCGCTTTTCTTTCTTTTTTTCATAGCACCTATCACCTTCAATCATACAATATAATTTATTTTTATATTCATGTTTATTGTTGATTTCTCCCTGCTACCAATAGAATGTAAGCTCCATGACAGCAGAGTGCTGTATCTGTTTTGTTGACTGATAGATATATCCTTAGAATATGCAAGATCCATAATAGGTCAAAAGTCATTTATTGAAAGAATGAGTTTTCTAAAAGTGAAACCAAGAAGCATCAACTAATTCTTCTCAGAATTTATACAGGAATGCACCTTTTTACAATACATGTTTATGCCAGGAGTTGAGATTTCAAAATGTCATTCAAAAGCCATTTTTATCTGCCTAAATTTTTTAGGGTAAAGTAGTTTTTTATGTCTACTGTTAGTAATTTAATATTTCCATTGGTATTTTTTTTTCAATGTCTTTTTTGGGAATAATTTTAGATAAAGAAAAGTTGCAAAGATAGCATAGAGAGTTCACCCAGGTTTCCTTAACATTAACATCTTACCTAATGTGGCACATTTGTCAAAACTAAGAAATTAACCTTGGTACAATGGTACAACATGACATTCACTTTTAAACGATTTGTTTTTCTTTAGTGAGGATACTGTATCTCCTGGCATACTTACAATGACACTGCACGGTTTCTTCTTTGGCTCTGATTTATTCCTTTAGCTTTTTTGCTTTTTTTTTTTTTTTTACCTTATAACGTGACCAACTCCAAATCGTTCTGAATCTCTTCACTTGCTGTTAGCATCACCCCCTATGTCATTTTCACACGGCTGTAGTCACTTGTTGTGCCCCATCTGCTATGTAGAAGTGCCTCCACAGACCCAGCTGAGCTGTTAGATCCGTGCCCCATCTGCCCACATAACAGGACAGGGCTTCCACAGAAGCTGAGAAGGAAAAGTCCAGCTGATGCCAAATGGCCAACTGAGCAGAACAGTTGTAGAGTCCTTGGGATTGGGAATGTCCAGGGGTCCGACTGAAGCAGCAGAGTTGGAAAATTCTGAGTGACATGCGGAAGACCTAGCAGGTGAGCAGGCAGCAGTTCATCAGATAAGACAAGATATTTTTGTGGATTAGATAACAAAGTCTCAGTCTCCAAAATGGGAATCCAGGGCAACATCCTATTACAGGAAGCCCTGGTAAGAAGAAGGACACCTTTTTTCCAGAACAGAGATTCAGAAGGTGGCCCTGCACTGGGCATACAAAGAAAAGGGTCGGAGAAGAACAAGTTATTACTGGAATTTGAGAACTCAAATATTATTAGAATGGAGGACGCTGGGTTTGAGCTCTGATAATGGGAACAACATAGAAATTCCCTGGGTCTTATTCAGGGTCAGGTCTGTGTAGGAGCCCAATGGTTAATTTGTATTGGGGCACCAAGTGCCAGAACAGCCCCGTTTATGTCTCAACACTAAGCCAACTGAAGGCCAGCTGTGTGCTGGGATTGCCTAAAGAATTCCAGCCTTAGCCAGGAGAAGGACCATCTGGGCACTGGTGGAGGAGGAGTGGGGTGTCCGTGGGTCCTCTTGTGGGACCACTGGAAAAGGGACAGGTGGAGGGAGTTGAGGGAAGTAACTGTGTGCAGATGAACCGCAGCAGAACCAGGAATGGGAATCAGAAAGTCACTACCACCCTGATGTCTAGTTGTACAGCAGTGAACACTGTACAAGTCTGAGAGAAAGAAAAGGCCCACCACATCCTAGAAATGTGTCCCTTTACAACTACTGGGTCATCGGGAAAGTCATGATGCATTTTTGCATTGAAAAACATAGAAAAATACGGCATGGCTTTTCCAACGACTCAAAATATAGATGACCATGTCTAAAATTACCTCAGCCTCCCCGCCATCTGTAGCTAAGCAGAACACACTGGATTAATGAAAACATTCACAGATTTAATTACTATACTTATTTTGTCTTCAAAGGTATCTCAGCATGTGGAAAGGATGTTCTACAAGAAAAATTTTTCACTTCCTGCCCATACAAAACAAGCATTTGATCAACCAGCAGATACATCCCCTCTTCTGGATTTTAATTCCTGGGGTGACACATTGAACAGTCCTTATTCCCAGGATGTAATAATTCCTAAAGGAATTGAGCGAGATAGTGTGAGAAATTAAAACCCTCAAGGAGCAAGAACAGTCTTAGTCAGTTTTCCAAAGAGTCTAGGATATTCTTTCTGAAGGGTGTGTGAGGGTTTCCCAGGACCAGATGGAGGCTGAGAGGGAGAGAAAGCCAGCCTTCCTGGAGCTGTCTTGGAGGAGGCCATGCCTGAGAGGCTTCCCGAAGTGACCTCAGCACAAAGTGGCTGGAGGCATATCCTTGGAAGCAAAAGCTAAAGGAAGGACAGAATTCGCAAACACCAAAAAAGCTTTGGTTGGATGTTTCCATGAGAAATTCTCTAAAGAATCCAAAATAGCCAATACTGAAAAAAAGAGTTCCTTCTCTCTCTTCTCTCATTTCCCATCCCCCAACCCAGAAAGAGACAGAGGCAATCCAGTGGAGTAGGAAGGAGGCAGAAGAGAAAGTGAAGTACAAAGTAGAGAAAAAGAGATGCTGACTACAAGGGCTCCATCTTTTTTTTTATTGCAGCCTCCAGGCTGAAGGAGGCCCAAGCTAGGGAAAAGCCGACGCCCTAATCTTAAAGTGCGGAGTCTAACTATTATTCAGCATTTTCTTTCTGACATAAAATTATGTTATGACTAAAAATAACTAGAGGACTCATCATTATCTGAGAGGGACATGAAAAGTCCTTATACCCACCTCAGATTTCACCCAAGGGGTGGAGTAGAGTTATCTCTGCAAACCAGGTTTGAATTGGCAAGATGGAGGGGAGAAGATTAAAGTGGCTTTCGGCTTGTGCCCTATGGAGTCCCACTTTGTCATCTTCACATCCAACAGAAAGCCTCTGAAAGGATACACAAGAAACGGATATGAGTTTATTCAGGGAGGGGACTGGGTAACAGTGTGTGAAGGTGACTTGCTACACACTGTCTTATACATTTTGAATTTCTAACTATGGGAAGGTATTTTCTATTTTTAAAATTTACATTTAAAATGAAGAAACTGTAGTAAACAGCCTCTAAGATGGCCCCTAATGATCTCTGCCTCCTAGTAGTCATGCCCTTATATAATCTCCTCTGTTGGGTGGATTGGATTTACAGACTCTTTTCTAATGAGTAGAATATGAAAGACATGATGGGATGTCACTTCTGTGGTTTCAGTCTGCGGTGCTCTCTCACTTTTTTTGGAATCCTCACTCTTGAAGAAGCCAGCTTCTAGGCAGCCTGGCAGAGAGGCCCACGTGATTGAACTTGGAAATTGACCTTCTGAGAGCTGCCAACAGCGACTTGAGGGAATTTGAAGGTGGCTCCTCCCTGAGTCAAGCCATGAGATGACAACACAGCTCCTGCTCACAGTTTAAAGGCAGCCCTGAGCCAGAGCCCCTCCGCTAAGCTGCTCCTGAATTCCTGACCCACAGAAACTGTGAGATAATAAATATGTGTTGTTTTCAACCACCAAGTTTTGGAGTAATTTGTTTCACAGCATTCGATAACTAAAACAAGCAAATAAATTGCATCGAAAAACATGTAAAGCATGCTACCCGCATTCACTTTTTGATTTGGAGAAGAGTGGACTTTTGCAGAGAGTGGGCATTTTCCTCTGATTTGCAGAGAGTGGGTCATTCCCCCCACAAACCATATTAATTTAGTTAAGATTTTCTTTCTTTTATTTTAACTATGAAAACAGCAGAGTTTTTTCCAACATAAAATTATATTATACTACCACAATTATATTATACTTGCCAGTTTACTCTATTTGGATCGAGAGAGAGAGAGAGAGAGAGAGAGAGAGAGAGAGAGAGAGAGAGAGAGAATTCCTCCAAATTTAAAAATTTTAAGAAGTTTCGTCACATGTCCTTGCAACTGCTATAATTCCCAGCATACAGAAGTTTCACAGGATACCAAATGTTAGTTAACAGATGTTATGGTGAGGGATAAAAAGAAAAACTTAATTAATATTTTTAGAGGCAAATGGATCATGTGGTTCAATCCATATGATGGCTTTTGAATTTCTTATCCCTGCTAAATGAGTCAATTGAGTTGGTAACTGATTTACTTAGCAGATGTGCCTCAGTGTTGCTCTAAGGGAAGTGTTCTGATACACCACCCTGGCATGTACTATTACCAGAAAAAGCACTGTGCTTTTTCCATAAAAAAAGAACCAGAGGACACATGTAAAGGAGGCTCTCTACAGCTCTCAGTATTCTTCTTTGGAAGAAAAGGAGACTGAACTGCTTGTCCATACTAAGATGGCTTCCTTTCCAGGTGAATGACTCTAGAGTACCTTTAACAAAAGACCCACTTTAGTAACAGAAATGATTCTGGAGGGTGAAAATTTTCCTAGTGTTATCATGTAGAAGTAGTTTCTAACTTTTTCACAAATGCTCCTTTCATCTTGAGCATGCTGTGTACCCTTTGTGAGAATTAAACAACAGCAACAACAAAAAAACCTCTTATGTTTGAAAACCAATCACAATAAAACTGTATTTGCTAAATAGGGTCTCCTGACTTAGAAAATAGTCTGTTTAGACAGATTGAATAAACAACTATACAATGGAACACTATGCAACTGTTTCCTCTATGGAAGTATCAGAGCTACTAAAAAGTAACAATAGAATTCAAATATCACCATTTTGCACCTCTGAAAAATAAAGGATGTAGATAGACAGTGATCATAAATGGCTGTTGATATCACGAAAAGGGAAACAACCAGACATTATATGCCTCCTGATGGAAGTCCATGAAACAGCTATGAAAAAAGCAAAATGCAAACTGTGAGAAACTGTCCAGTAGAAACTACCTGATTTCTTTCAATGAATAAATTGCAAGGAAAAATAAGAGAGGGAAAAGGAAAACCAATAGATTGAAAGATACTAAAGATTCAAATCACCCAGATGTAAAAGATTTGGAAACAAGTTAGTGATGTTAGTTGCACAACATTGTGAATGTAACTAATGCCACCACTGAATTGTACACTTAAAAATGGATAAAATCACAAATTTTATGATGTATATACATACACACACACACACACACACACACACACATATATATATATATATATATTTTTTACCGCAATAAATTTTTTTTGAAGGATTCAAATCACCAATACAAATATTTGGATGCCTATTGAATACACTGTAAAAAAATGTTGGGGAAATTTGATCACAATTGGAAATATTCAATGCTATTAAAGAAGCATTGTCCTTTTTAAGATGTGATAATAGGATTTTGAAGTTTTTTTTATTTATTATTGTTATAAGAACTTTAACATGAAACCTGTCCTCAACAAATTTTTAAGTGCACAATACAATATTGTTAACTATAGGCACAAAGTTGTACAGTAAATCTCAATTTTACCTAATTTCTTTTTTTAAGAATTCTTATTTCTTAGGAATGCATACTGAAATATGTACAGATAAAGTGATATATGTTGGATCAGGAATTTAATTTTACTTTACCTACAACCTAATAAATAAATTAGTCACTTATTATTTTATGGAGGCTGGCTTACTCAAGACTCTTGTGTCAGAAACAAAGGACTTTATTACTCATGCCACAATAAGTAGCATGAACTTCAGTGTATTTGTGTTGGTCACCCATGTTCTCAAGTGCCTCAGGGCAATACAGATGGGCCTAGAGGATGCCTGCACATGCAGTGGGTTGCTTCACAGCTGAGGAACACTGAGCTTGAGGAACCCATTAATTTCATAGCAAGCAGTAAGCAAGCCTGCTCTTTGTCCAGGGGTGGAGGTGGAGTATGGAGGAGTAAGCAGGAGATATTACCTCATTTCTTAAGGCTATCAGGTGCATAATGAACAGAGCTAGGGAAATTATGTTACCCACCATCCTAGGCACCAATCTTTCAAGCTAATTCAAAAACCACCAAAGGAAAAAGAAACAACACCAATTCACCCCTCACCCCTGTAGTCCATTCTTGACTGTACTCTCTACCTTGGCTCATAGGAAAGAGGGACATTTTTTATTGTATTCCAGGTGGAGGAGAAGGCACACCACAAACTGTACTTTAGATTCACTTTTTCTAGTCACACTGCCAGGGAAGATGAATGCCCCCAGGAGGGCACCTAGCAGATGGTTGTCCATCTTTTGCTCATGGCCTGTACCCGTTTCCAGCCACTTCCTCTTGCTGAAATCATCTCACAGATCTCCTAGATTAGGGCTCTGAGTTCTTGTACTGCCTTTCCAAGACAAGCAAACTCACCCCAAAGAGTTTTACCCACTGTGAGAATCTTTCAGTTTTCGGAAGTCTCACCCACCTCACTCTGTGGAGGGATGTGCTTGCTCCCTGTCCTCGTGACCAGTTTGATAGTAGATGTATCTTCATCCTTTGTTCTTCTCCTTGACTCTAAATTCCTTAGGCCACCAACCCAGCCACACTAAATTCATACTACCTCACTTCCTAAGCACTTCCTGTAACCGTGAGACATCCATTCTTTCTTCTAAATTGTTCAGTTCTCCTATAGTGGTCATCTCAACCAGTCTCCCACTCACTGCCCCAAGGTCCTCATGAATTATGCAAATGACTCCTGGGAGACAGGGCAATAATCTCCCCTTTCCTTAAGGGCACAGGCCTCTTCAGACAGACACACTAGGATGCACAATCTATGACCTATATTTATCGCGTGGCACCAAACACAGCCTTTCTTCTGTGTTGGCAATCCACCCTGCTTCTTCTCTCTGACTTATCTGGTCCTTAAATTCTGGTTTAAGCATTTCTACATCTTTATTCACACCGTTGTAGAGCTGGTTAACGAATTTAACTGGATGCGTAGCGCAGTATCTATAAGGCACAGTTTAGGTGTGTGTGATATCTCAGAAGCCTGTTTCTCTCCTCAGGTATACTGTTGCCAACAGTTGCCTTGAATCACAGACTAGAAATGCTATTCAACTGCTCTGTAAACAAGGCAAAGTGTCCTGTGGAAACTAGGCATCTCAGTGCTCTCTCTGTGGGCCAGGCAGATAATTTGCTAACCTGTCAACCTGTTCTTTTGCATTTGTATGACTAACCCAACCAGTTCTGTGAAGGGGGCACAGTGTTTGCTCCAGTGAAGCGAGTGACGCTAAATGCTCTGTAGTGCTTGCCTTGATAATAGAACTCTGCTGAGTTTTCTTTCACCTACAAAACAGACATAAGTGTTTACAGAAGCATTGGTGCAATTTAATAAATTGTAGTTAAAAACAGTTTCCGATATTTTCAGGACTTCAGGTGCAGACTTCTACTATAACAACATTTTCTTTTCAGACACACATTTAGGTCCCCAGACACTGAATAAATAAAACTAACTTTATTCAAAACAAAAGAAGAAATTTTTGTCTGTGTTAGATTATTGTTTTCTGTTTGCTTGTTTTTGTTTTTTCTTTATAAATCAGGTGATGATCAAGTGGTTTGTTGTTTTATGAGATTGAAGTTATGGGCCAGCCGAGTGGCTCAGTTGGTTAAGAGCTCACTCAAGAGTATGAGCTCTGAGCAACAGGGTCGCCGGTTCGATTCCCGGCCCGAGCTGAGCTGCCAACAGCTGCCAACATGTGGCAGGATGGCTCAGCTAAAAAAAAAAAAAATGAGAGAGAGAGATTGGAGTTACTATTGTCATCTAGCATTTGGTTTGGAATCCTTTAACACTCCGCTTTTCCTAAATTACATTAACATCATAATTGCTTTATATTAATAAAATGTGCTTTGCATTGATAGCAATGGTTTGTCACTCAAACCACTCACTTAATTGTGCAAATAAAGATTCACAGCACAAGAATCAGAAAGAACCAGCCAACATCTAATTGTACAGGTTGTACTTGAGAGGGATATCAGCAACCCCAAAGGACAAATCTATAAAAGGCAACATTTTTAGTCCTGGAAGCATATGAAAAAAGGTCTTTATTCCAGGCCTGGTGACTATTCCCATGCCAGAGGCATAAAAAAATCATTATTCACCAGCCTTTGTCTATACTCATCAACTCTTTAGGCAAACGACATCCACAGAACAAATCCAAAGTCTGCTTCCCTTACAGAGAACTTTCCAAAGAGAACGGTCTGATTGGGTTCCTTCTTATGATTACCATCACTGAAATATTTGTTAATTCATAATTCAGGGCTTTGTTTTAAAATTTAAGATCAAGGATAACAACACAGGGCAAGAATTCTTGTGAAGATTCAAACACTTTTTGTGAACATTAAAATCTTTTATTCAAAAATAGTACTTTGTTTCAGTGATCTTGTTTCAGGATAATGTATCAGTTAGGATGCTCTGTGATACAAATGACAGAAAGCCCAATTCATACTGGCTTAAAACATAAAGGGAAGTCTTTGGATCTTGCAAATGAAAAGTCTAGGTGTCTGGCTTCAGGCCAGGCTTATCTAGTGGTTCAAATGAAGTCACCGAGGATTCCTTCTGTTCTTGTGCTTCCTTCCTTTGACTTCATCTTTACGTT